TAGCACTGTAGATAAACGGAAGAGTAATGGAACAAGCGAAGAAGCTCATGCAATCGGAGTAATGTTTGATGGAAATGGAAAATAGGAAATAACGATCGACAGGCGAATCTGAAAGAATGGATGTATCGTCCGTGAATTAATGCAGATAGTTGTGACTAAGGATGAGCTGAGCCAGAAAATGAAGCCATTTGTATTTAAAGGAAGTTTCATCACCTTCACTATGTATGGCTACCAGTCATTAGCAATAATTTAAAAGCGCCAGTCTCCGGTATAAGCGGCTGAAGTTGGTGTTGTGAAACGAAACACTGTACTCACGTCTCTATAAAGAAATGGTAGCCCCTATATCTGAGAAAGCCCTGGCGCACATCCGCTACTTCTTCGAATTCATAAGTTAAAGCTGCAAAGATTTCGGAAATTTTTCAGCAAATACTACCAGAAAGGAAGTCGAAACAGATGCTATTTGCTCTACGGAAAGGTAGAAGATGCAGAGGTGGGCTAACAGTAATTTATTGTAAGTGCCACGGCAGACTTAGCATCATACCTGAATATATCATGACGAATTTCAGATATTGATGAAGGATAACGAACACTGAATACAGTGCCTGAATACAGAATTTCAGCACACCAGAAAGAATAAATGGCAATCGAGATTGACTGACTCATTGGCCGACTGATTTTCGTCGATGGAATTTAGTCAACCGTAATATTTATACCACTATATTGCGTTTGCTATATTTTTTCATTTTGTAGACATTTTAATGCTATTCCTACATTTATTTTGAAAAATCGCTTCGTTTCAGCGGAATTAATGTGGCTACGATTGAGCAAGAGAACCTTAGCAAAATTCCGTTAACGAGGTTTATTGCAGTGTAATTGAACTGCATTACTTGTACATCTAATATTTAATCTGTAGTTTAGTTTAGCAGTTTTAGGTGCAATGCTACATGTGATCAAGATTTTTGGCAATTTTCGCCTCTGGGAGCTGCATCTGATTACTGCCCTCAAATTCGCCAGAATATTCTGAATATCTTGGCGCTGAAGAATGCTTGCGATGGAAAGACCTGAACTGGCTGCCGACTCGAAGTACCGTGCGTACGTGAGCTCCGTCGAAAAAACCCTAAAGCTGTTCGAGGATCCAAATGAATGGGCCGATTTAATAGCAGCCTTAGGAAAGCTGTGCAAGGTATGCCACAACAAGTTAAAATGTAAATGATTTGGTCGTGCAAATTTGAATAAATTCCAGTTAAGCAGATATGACTAATAATGAAAAATGGGCGTCTAGGAAAGAAACGTAAACTTCGCACAGTTCGGAATGGAGACAACCATGACTTCGTTCTGTGTTAAATATGGTTAGAAAACTCACACATAGTAACGTTTTTGTGGCTGATGCTGGGTTATTGTTTATTGATGTTTAAACAATGTTATGAAACTGTTATGACGATGTTGTTCATACGAACGAAAAGATTCTTAACAGAAAATAGTAGAACCCAAAGTGACAGTTCTCTGACTAAGTCTAGGTGGCTTCTGATGGTACTGGTTGTTTTGTCTGGTTGTCCGAAGTAATTCACTCGTGCGTTGTTGGTCGTAAAGAAAAAAATAGCCGGAAGCATGGTTTATTTATACACAACGCAAAAGATACTGTGGTCTGTCCGGTGACTGACCGATACCGATATTTCGGTCCGGGTCTCACGGGCCTTTTTCTGAAAGGTTGGTGGTGAAGTTTCTTGAATGTGATTGGTCGTCCGCAACAGTTGATAGTTTCGGAGCCAGAAGGCAAGCTGTCGGTCCATGCTGCTGGTTAAATCGTCACCGGACTGACCACAGTATCTTTCGTGTTGTGTATAAGTGAATCATGTTTTGCGCTATTTTTTCAGCTATTTAAGATTATCATTATACTGTTTAAGTGGTGTAGCCGATAAAGGTTATTTTTCGACATTCAAAAATGTCTTTTACGATGATAATCTGTTAACCGCCATCGGTTACTTCGTTCGATCGCTCAGTTTTCGTCATTTTGGTTTGGCAAACTTTTGATTGTTGGATAGGAAATGTCTCTGTTAGATTCATTGCTCAAACTTGTGCCTGAATTTTTTGAAGCGTGTAAACGGCCAGTGGTGTAGGGATAGTGTTATAGGTTTCTGTAGCTACATTTATTTGCGTCAAAAATTTTTTTGTTCGTGATTTTGGAGTATGAGAAAGCGGCATCGTGAATAAAATGCATGGCATGGTCACGTCGAAATTCGCGCCGCAGCTGTAAGAATGGTAAACACTCATAGTTTATACTGGCGAACGAGCGCTGGCAAAGCTGAAAGATCTGTACGAACCAAAACAAGGAGTTTAACAGATTATTCAAAGAATAACAAAGGTCGATGCTTGAACAGCAATTAATAATAAAGCTCAATATAACATGGTAGTGCTTCTTTGGTGTAGTGTGGAGTACATGCAGAAGAAACGCTGACATTCTTGAAAACAAGATTATCGTTTGCGGTGATATCCATATTGTTTGAAGGCATTGTATTACAACAGCTCTATGTGTTTGCAAGACTTGGGCATTAACGAAAAATGACGAAGAACTTTTAAGAATGCAGCAGTGGGCTATGGACAGAAAGATGCTAGGAATTTCCATCAAGGACAAGCTGAGACATGAAGAAGCAGTAAGACGCAGGGGAATTGAAGAAGCTGTATCACTTTCAAAGAAAGAAAACAACAAGGATAGGTCATATCGCACGATTGGTGAATGATCAATGGACTCCAGCAGTGAAGAATTCGTGTCCAGGAGGTTTCAAGCTGCCAACTTCAAGACCTTGGCTCACATGGGGCTATAAGTTAAAAGAGAGACTTGAAAGCTTTTCAACGAATCGCTCGAGACATACTACCAGCGTGAGCATCAAAACCAGGCATTGGTGATCTTCATTAATCATGGTCAGTCAGTTATTGTTTATTTTATTAATTTTTACCCTTTAGGTATTTTCTTGTTTTTTCTGATGAAACTTGTACCGACGTTTGCCTTACCTGATCCACTCTTGATGTTATATTGCGTAGCGCAGACTGCTAAGTTTTATGATGTTACAGGGAAAGACGCGAGTCTCGGTTTAGAAAGACGACGACATGAATACACAAATTTGGTCTACGTTTTATTATGGATTTCCCATGGGTTCATTCAAGTGACCGTGGGTGTTTATTTCTCTTCATGTTTTGTTATCGTCAGTCAAGCATCATCCGAGTCTTTCCTTCCTCTTGTCCATGGATCGTCATTACCTTTAGTTCAGACGGCAGACGGCATGAATTCATGAATTGAAAAAATTCATGATACACTTGAAACATGCATGGTTTTGTTCGACCAAAGGTGAGGCTATTTTACTATCGGGAAAGACAACTCATTCTACTATGAGGTAAACAGAGTGAGTACAGTTAGACTATGTAGAGAGGTATAAGTAACTAGTGTAGTATTTACGATGAAATGGACATAAAAAGTTCAGTTGAGCGCTGTGATGCGGGGGGTAAACCGATCTGTTGTGGTGGTTAAGAAACTGAACAGTTATGACAGACTATTAGTGTTCAAACTCGTCTACGCATCTACCCTCACGTATGACCATCAGCACTGAGTTTTTGCAAAAAGATTACCATCTAGGTTTGAAGCGACAGGAATGAGGATCTTTCGAAGGATTACTGACCTAACGAGACTAAGCAAAATGCGAAACCCGGCAATCTCAGTTATCTTTACTTGTCAACTGCTCTTTTGGCAGATCGAGGGTACATAATAGTATGTTTATGCACGTTGGCAAGAAACTTGAAGAGAGAGGTTCAAGTTGGACCCTCATTGTGAAACGACCAAGGAGCAGAAAAAAGGTCAGGCGGCTGGAGTGTATCGAACATAAAGCATTGTTTCGTACTGGAATTCAGTTCATTGAACCTGCTCTGTTAATCGAAACCAGTAATACTGGAAAAACGTTCTATAGCTACTGACTCTCCCAGAGGAAAATAATGGCAAATCTCTGAAAATTTATGGATGCTTTCTTCGGGAATTAATACCGTGTGGTATTAATCGGAATTTCCTTTTCCTAGGCAGAACTATATTGTACAGCATAAGAAACTGCCAGTCTCAGTCATAATGCTTCAGTGTCAAACGTTTCGGGTTCATGATAAGCTTTCACCTCTGCATGATGACTCAGGAGTACCACCCCATTGTGCTTCTCCATGTTGGGCAATGACATGCTTCGATCATTGCCCAGGCTCACTGACGTTGAGCTTTGATTATGAAGAGCCTTCTTGTGATGATTCTTGTTTTTATAGTGATAAAGTATGTTTATGGGTGACGCTCTCCAGACGTTAAAAGCTTATTCTTCATTTCTCAAGCAGTTAATGCGATTACGCTATTCCTATCGTCGCCTGAGTTGTTTTCATACCAGTGACAGTTCTTCAGATAATTTGGAATTTTTGTTGGTAAATTCAGCCTCATTTAATTATCACATTTGCTTATCATTGGAAGCAGTCTACTTATATAGTTTCGCATAACTGTTATGTTCTATGTTTATTAGTGAAAAGATTTTGAATAAGGGTTGAAGACAGCCAGTGTGTGAAAACACAGGGAAAACGCTTACTTTGCCACCAACGTTTCGTACATTACCGATGACAGTAACGACATGAGACATTAACTAAGCCAACTTTCTTTTTTTCTGTTTTTCGTATTTTCTGTTATCATCCTTAGGCTAAGACGTTTTTAATATCTAGTTTTGTAAAGGTTTTGATGATAGATATATATTTTTCATTCGTGGCAGTACTGCTGATGTACCTGGCGATGAAATGTGAACTATTAACTCCTTAACGCCCTTTATCTGTTACTTTGGTTGCTTGTTCGAGGAAAGTCTCAAATTAGATCTGTTATAACTCCTTTAACTGTCTGTCATAGAATGTCATTTTAGCGCCGGGCATTAGAATTTGTTATTTTTAGGTGTTGCATACATTTTCAAAATTCAAAACGGTTCCGAGATGTATCATAGTGTCGAAACGGCTGTCACAGTGTCTTCACCCCTCGTTGCCATCTGGCGTTCACCTGAAAGCTCTGGAATGCTACCGAAAGATCTTTGACATTTTAGGTGTTGATGGACTGGCTTGTCAGCTAAATCTGTTTTCTGCGGGCTTGTATCCGCTAATGTTGAACGCTTCGATTACCGTCAAAAAGGCTTTGTTTGATATATACGAAAAGTACTTCATCGCTTTGGGTGCTCAGCTGAAGCCCGGGTTATCCGGCTTTCTCTGCGGTGTGCTGCCTGCTGCGGAAGAAGGATCAGAATTTTTTGAGAGGTGAGCAGACGTTGTTGTCGATTGTTAGTGCCGCTTGAAGTATTGCGTTTGTCATTTCAGGTCTCTTAACATGCTGAGCCAGGTATGCGACGCAGTTGGTGCTGAAGAGTTCTACTCCGCTTTGTGGAACTGTGTCATCTTTTCGTCACAAACTCGCCTTCCGGCTCTTACCTACGTTCTGGCCAAGTTCGATCGCCGCCTAACATTCACTGACCAAAAGTTTATCATGGGACACAACTTAGAGGAAATGGTATAGTTTTTTGTGACGTTCTCAATTACTTTCTTCCGTGCTAAGGCTGTTTGTATTGCGCTCTTTTCATTGTTCGGTCTTTCAGGCAGTCATAATTAGACCATGCTATATCGTTGGCTCGATGCGTAAATGTATTAAAAGGTTGTTAACAAAAGCTGACGTATTCTCTTTTGCATATTTTGATGGTTCTTTGTTACAGACAATTTTCAATGAAGATTCGAATGACAAAATGACTAAAAATTTGCACCTAGCATGTTTTCAAGAAATTTCGATTTACTTAAGGTTCGGTGCATCTCTGCACATAAAGCCGCTCACAACCATGGATGGTCAGAGGGTATTTAATCGTAAATCTTGAGTAACGCTTGAGCGATCATGTAGTTATTATGAATATTGTACTGTGAATGCTTCGTCATGTTGTTTTGTTGATATCACCTTAGCCATGATACAGCACAAATGAATAGTATTTGATGAACCGTTGAACTCTGCATGCTGCAGTATAAAGGGATTGAGAAGGGCATAAACCGGTGTATTTGTGCGCAATGCAAACGGTATGGTTAGTCGGATGATTGACAAGTGCCAAGGTTTCGGCCGTTTCTCACGGGTTTTCTTTAAGGTAGAGAGGGTTGAGAAAGGCTCGTGGTACAAGGACGGAAGTGTCGGTACTGATCAGCCTTCCGATTGATCGTATTGTTTTCGTTGTGTATAAATAAACTGTTTGTTGTGCTGTTTTCATTATGACCACCAAGAGGTACAGAATCTTCGAATATAAACGGATGTCTTTATAACTTTAAGCTGTAATTTTCCTGTCAGCTGCCCATTCAGCCACTTCACTGAAATAGTATCACAATGACACTGCATGTAATGTAGAGTCATGAACGTGTCTTACCATTACATACTGCAGTGAGGGCCATCTAATGCATCTCTAACTTGTCTTCTGGTCCTTCCTGCATATAATTCGCCATGGCTGTTGCGCTTCATAGCGTTTTGCTCACAAAATGGCTAATTTTCCAATCAATGCTTGGCTGTTAGGGTTGTGCTTCTTTAACATATGCCTTGCTTAACCGCCAGTTTTACCTAGACGGTAAGTTATATTTTGCATATGTTTCTTCGCAGATCCAGAAACGTGGCTTTTCTGATCATTCCCTAGTACTAGCTTATTATGAGGTATTATGTTAGACTTTGAGTTCTAGTGTATCTGTTTTCTTCTGATTCTAACTGAGTGTACTCGTTTGTGCGGAAAGTGCCATGAATGTTTTAGTTTCCCGCTTTCCTGTTTCGTTTGTTCAGACAAATTAAATCCTGTTCGTTTGTTCGGACAAATTTTAAAGTGCCCAAACCTGTGCCTTTGATTATACTTATGAATAAAGCTCTTATTTAAATCAACTTTTGATCTACTTAAATGTTATGATAAACAGATTGGCGTTAAAATGAAAATTCAGGTTCTTCCTAGCTTTTTACACTTTATCTTCCTCATATGGAAAACCTTAATTCAGGTTTCTGTCGACGGTGGACTCATTTCAGTGTTATAATTTGTACAGAGTCGTTCATATCTCGGCTTTCTGACTTCTGGTAGGTTCAACTAGCCACTCAGAAAGCATATTGTATGGTAAAAGGACGGAAAGTGACAGCTGGAATGTCGATCAATTGGACTATTTCTGACTCCCTACCTTTCATGAAGTTAATGGTGGAGTGCTGATTTCCCTTTCCATACCATCAGCCAGGAGTGACTGAGTTGGCATCAGCTATTTAGCGTGCATGGTTCTTCCCACAGAAAGATACTGTTCTTCCAACGTAGAAGTACTTATTTATGAACCTGGGAAGGGTGAAAGACGAGGCGAGTGATCCCAGTGCCTCTTTGTTCTGAGTTCGACGCCCTACCGACTTAGCAGTAACCCTGGTCTGAAGCAACGTGTGATAGATTCCTTGCTCAAGGAAATTCGTAGTTAAGACAAAGATTTCGCGCTGCTTTGGTCAAACTTGGCACTTCGGGGTTTGATGCCGATTTCTTAGACACTGTGCTCCCGTACCACATATGAACAAGATATTATAAACTTCATTTTGAAAAGGCCTTTTCTGCTTTTGATGGACTTTTTTAGTTTATGATGCAAAACTGCGGTCAAAACATGGCGTA